CATAACCAGTCATTTAAAACTTGATAACCTTACAAAGGTGATCCAACAATGAATGTGCTATGCAGATGTATTCCAGATATCAAAACATTTAACCGTAAAAATATAAATCCTTTGTGAAGTGACGGTATCCAAAACCTCCACCTTTTGCCTCTTAACTGGCGGTTGGACCAAGTGGTAAACTAAGGTCAGAAATCGCTTGTGTACACAGGGTCCAAACATTATCCCTTGTTAGCACACAAGCACTGCAGTACGATGGGCTGGGCCATTGTGCCCCTTCTTCCTCTTCCAGTATGAGATCAGCTGTATAGGGGATTTCAAGAGGCTAATAGGAAGTCAATTCAAGGTACTTACTCTACTTGTATTAAAAAAAGAATGTAATGATGCATTAACAATAATATGTAGAGAGCTACATTATTTGTCTTTGTATACCTGCTTGATTTGCCTGGAGTTAGGCTTTAATATAAATTTTAGCCCCACAATATTTGCACAGAGGTGAAGAATTAGATTCCTATCGGTTTCTTAATTTCAGCCCTTACAGCCCAATGCTTTACCATTAATGTAATGTAAAGTAATGTAATGTAATTCTGTCCATAATCCTGGGCATAGCTATAGTTATAGGAGACCATCCAAATGCTATGGGCTCAGAAGCATAGTGTATAAATGGTTTGGAAACCTCAATGTTAGTGCTGTTAAAGCAATTCTGCATCACTAGGGGAATTGGCATTGAGATAGAGATTAGAGCGATAAGAAGTCCTCTTAATGAGTTTTCTATTGGGCTCCAGCACGTATAGTTACCGCTATGGCCACTTGATTCTAAGACGTCAGATAAAAAATGTTGTAATACAATGAAGATCAATAAACCGTTATGTACAAAAAAAGGGGGAAATCCATCAGAAATGATAGAATGAGGATGGGTAAACCCTTGCAGTTGTTAAACTGTAGTTCAATAATATTACACTTATAACAGAAACCTTAATGAAAGACACCTTAATTTCCCTTTAAATAACTATATCACAACACACAATCTCTGGATTAGATAATCTATGCAGTTTAGAGTTGCACTACCTGGCCACTACCAGCTTTGAGAGACGCATGGAGTCAACATGGACTAGCCACTTTGAACTAAATGGTTAGTACACTGTGCCTAGCACATTTTCAAATACACCTATAATATAGTGGATCTAGCAAAGTCTTTCCACAGTCAATCAGACCATGGCTAAACAATGATATGCGATTGGTATATCTACAAACCAATCCCAGACAGAGGTTGTTAAAGCCAAAAAAAATAATTAAGAGACCCTGGGATGTTTATATATGAGAATTTCTTGTAAGTCCATTCAAGCTCTCATTACAATTTTAACCCCTGATAAATGGGGAGTGTTGCCAACATATACAGTATGTTGACTGTTTATTTAGTCAAATTTCAAACAATCAAAATATCTCAGACTCTTTCACTTTATGGCTTGGTATGTGTGTGTGCTCATTTTGGTCTAGGTGCAAAAATAACACAGTTGTACTCACCTGAACCTTGGAGCTGGCTGGCAGTTACAGTGCTCCATTCAGCCTCTCTCCTCCTATGCTCCGTATGCGATGATATGTCCCTCTGTGTCCTCACGTCCTATACACAGTGTATATGTGGATCTTTAGACCAGACCATTGGAGTGGAGAGGGAGTAAGGCTGCAAGGACCGATCTAAGAGACAACTTTGTTATGTTTGCATCTAGTCCAAAACTAGCACTTAGAGAAACGCTTTGAGCCTTCTTAGCACTGCATTACCTTGACTATTGCAAGTGTTACATTACCACCCACCTGTTGTGTTCCACCAGAGGTTTCATTACAATTACCTACTTTCATTGAGATGTATTTGCTCTATTTTTGTATCTCATCCATCATGCTCATGTCTTCAGACCTGTAATCATGTTGTTTATATAACCTCATTTTTTGGAACTCATGGGGGTGTTAGGAGGTTTCTTCTGAGTTGTGTGTCTCCTTTTATACTCTATATGCATTGTCTAATGCTTTTAATCTGTGTCAAATAAATTGATTATATTTTTTATACACTATTATGGTTTGAAGGTTATTGGATTTGTCTCTCTGGCGCCTACAAAACCCCATTTTCTTCTCTCTTTTGTTATTACAAATCAACCAGGGGGTGGCTTCCAGAGATTTAGGATCTGTGTACCACAACTATCTTTGTTTCCAACAATGCTCACCACCCTTAACCCTTGTTTGAGTAATTGAGAGGGGCCCTATCAATATTTTGTTATAGGGACCCAAAATTTGAAGTTACAACCCAGCACCCACTTTGTACATGAATTGAATACTTTGAGGAATTGTGATCTTGCCCCAAATCAACGCTTTCTCTACATTCAAGGAAACACTGTGGAGGGTTTTTAAAGTGGCTTCTTCTCATTAGTTCTTCTCTACAGCAGAGAGACTTACATGGTTCTACAAAGCACTCAGGCCACTGAACTAGGACTAGGACTAGCTAGGCGTGTCAGTGCAATTACTCCTGAGCTGGGTTTTTGCACATTTCATTTTGCACATTTCTGTTTGTCTTTAAAAATAAGCCACACAGAATCAAATAGCAGCTCTGCAAATGGCTGTGAGCTAAATGTTGCAGGAAAACAAAAGGATAGTCTGGAAGCACACAGTGACCTTGCTTTCTACTGCAGTCTTACCAGTGTCTATTTTAACTGAATGTGAGAATTTAAATAATACTAAATCACTCATGTACGAGGATCTAAGGTGAATTATTTTTGCTGCATCTAAAAAATTATCAATGCACGATGACTGACCTGGTGTTCTGTATGTTAGCAATTTCCCTTCTTTCAAAAGAAAAAAATAGTTTCTATTAATAAAATAACATGCATGGCTGATTTTTTTTTCTAATGATTTCATGATCATAAAGAAATGTCAAGGGCCAAACATGAAAAAGAAAGACATTGCAGCTAAATCAGATCCCTGGTTCTTCGGTATGACCAAGACAGTTTTCAGGCATTGGGCTCAATTCACTAAGCTATAATGTATGTGCTATTTGTGTGAGCGATTATTGTTATTTCAGCTTTCACTGACTCTAAATGACTATTATCTGATCAATATATCTCACTGACAAAATGGTTCATACAGAAAATAAAAATGCTGTAGCTTAGTGAACTGAGCCTATTGTACCTTACAAATGTTTCTTAGACATTTAGGGCGTGATTTACTAACCTAAACACACGCACGCACTAGGTGTGTGTGATGTTTACACAGCAAAATGTATTTATCAACCAAAAAGTGTCTAAAAGCATATTTCCACTAATGCCATATATGGAAAAATCATGCACATGATGCATATATAATGCTGCTTCACAGTTTAGACAAAAATGGTTAGCTCATGCATTTACATTCCTACATTCATCAACGCAAGCAACACAACATAGAGCTAATTTACACAACATAACCTTGCAATTCATGCAGGGCTTTGCACAACACACCTGCTGGGTGTGTACACACTACAAAGGTGTCTAGATTCCACCAATAGATCATGCTGGGAGGGAACACACTACAGAGGTGTATACTTGTTCGTGGCGTGTTTATAAGGTTAGTAAATCAACCCCTTAGATTGTCTTATGGGGAGGTGCAGCTTACCAAGACCATTAATACCATAAAACTGGGTGAGGCATTTCTTGCAGGTGGCAACTTCCAAGCAAGATTCCTATGACTGCTTATCTGTTTCTTCAAGGAAAAGACATGGAGGAAAAAAAATGCAGAGAAAAAGAATATTCTTAGAAGCAGAAAGAAAAGGTGCTCCAAACACTGGCATCCCCAATTGATAATAACATTATAATGCGCATTAAAAAGACATAAGAGGCGAGATAAAGTTGCAAGGAGCAGTCTTGTCATACTTGATATGCCTCTTCTTTGCGTTTCTGTTCTAGTCAGGCTTTTTCAACACTTTTGAGACTGCAAAGACTGTTTGTACTTATGGAAAGACATAGATTATGTTTTTTTAACACAACACAAACTATTAATTTGGATTCATAGTGGGCTAAAGTGATTTTCTTTTTAAACTTTAAGCTCCTTTTAAGCAGAATATGCATCCCTCTGGGCAGGGTTTAGAGCTAGGGGAGAGCTTAGTGTAGATAGGGAGGGTAGCTATTTAAGGCTGTCTTTGATATAAAAGTGACCCAATTCTTTTTATTTTAACATGGCAAAAAATACATTACATGATGCATCCCTTATTTTGCCTCTCCATAACCAAACCAGTTTCTATGTTATGCACCATGCAACTGTCCTGTTTATGATGGGATTCATTGATTACAGAAGGGTGATTACAGAAAGGATCATGGGTTCGTCTATATGAATATAGAGTGTACCACATTGGGAATGTGGGCAGATCTGTTTGAGGCTTAGAGATATATAGTACATTAACTAAGGGAAATAACTTGATTCTACTGTCTTCCCATTTTTTTATCAACATTTTGAAACTGCCGGGTGTAAATAACAGTGCCTTTTGTCTTGTTCTGTGTCAGGAACTTGTAGAAGATGCATTGAGCGCAAGCATCTGTAATTTTTCACAAGGGCTAGCAAGTTGATTCTCACTTTTAATATCCCAGAAATAGCCAACCAAGGACAGATATCTAGTTAATTCTCAAACTGTTGAAGACCCTGCTGGTCTGTTGGTTGGCCCTTAAATACACATATGCTCCACAACTAAAAAACAGTTGGTAAAAAAAGCATAGCAATCTCTTTTACAGCACCCATCAATCAAGCTACAGTTCTCCGAGAACTTTCCAAATATTATGTTCAGATGGTTTGCATACTGGCTCATTTTTACTTGTCTGGTATTGCTTTAAATGGTTGTAAAGGCCTTGTTTCTATAGGTTTTATTAAAATAAATATGGCCATGTTCACAACATTTCCAACTAATATTTGATGTAGCAAGGAATTTCAACCAGCTTATGTCTATAGACAATTATATCAAGTCATCTGTTTTTCCTTTCTTTTGATACCAGGTGTGGTTCGTGCCTCAAGCATCTTCCCTATCCTTAGTGCCATGCTCCTGCTACTTGGGGGCCTTTGTGTTGCTGCCAGTCGTGTTTACAAATCCAAGCGCAACATCATCCTAGGAGCTGGAATTCTATTTGTTGCTGCAGGTGAGAAAAAAAAGATTTGAAATTACCTAAAGGAAAACTCTAGCGAAAGTAATCAAGTCAGCTAAAATACTATTATATTATGAGCATTTCCTTTCTTTATTGTAAGCTTTATTAGACATTGCAGTCTAAATAATAGCTCTTTGTTTTGGGTATATCTCTAACTGATGATGGGGGAAGTTTACTGCTGGATGGAACTCTATTAAACACAGTAAGTCATGGCTAGTCTATTGTACTGAATTTACATACAGAACACTGTCTGAGGCTTCACCTCCTGCTACAGTAGTTTAATTCTAAAAGGTGCTTTAAAATTAATTTTCTAGCACATTTGTGACTCCGTTGTGTTCTACATTCTCTAATTTAAAGATTTATCCACAATAAAAACAAGTTTTGGCTTTACATACACTTTAAAGTTAATGGTTAGCATAGAGTTTAGGGAGTGTCTTAATGTTAAGTGATAGCTTAAGTTTTAGTGTTCCAGTAAAATGTTAAAGGGTTAACTTAATGATTAAAATACATCTGAAACTGAACTAAATTATATTTAGTTTGCTCAAAAACTATACAATATCAACATTTGCAATGTTATTTTTCTATAATATATTGTTTATTTAATCTTTTTTTATCCTTTGTTGCATCTCAGTGCTGCTGACCGTCCATTTACTGCCTACAAGCACTGGCTCTAGAATCATCTGCAAGTTGTTGCTCTGGTCCGACTTCCTGTGGGTGACAATGATGGACCATGCCTTTGCAGGCTGTTTGTCCACACATCTACTTGTAGTCTCCACCAGGGAAGTTAGTGACAGGGTGACAATACAAGAACACTATGGGGGACAGTAATCACCCTGTAACAGGATGTGCCTGACCAAGGACCATCATGGCAGGATTAGCAATATTATTTTACTAAAAAGCTAAATATTTAATAAGGATTGAAATTACATAAACATCTCAAAGCTTTTGACCTAATATTTTTAGTGAGCTGAATTATTGCCATTCGAGGAAAAGTAACAGGTTCGCTGTAATGCTTGCTGAACCAGTAACACAATAACGCTGCTACATTTGGAGCTCTTTTTTTTTCTGCATCCGCATGAAACTGCAAGGTTCTGGGAAGGCCTCTTTTTTTGTGGAGAGCTGCCAAACTTAAGCCTTATTAAAGACTTTTCAAGCCAAAAAAGAAGCCCAGCACCCTGTCCCTCATTCTACTTCTAGTCACATGCTGGGGGCAGAGACAAGTCCTAGTTGTATTACTTAGCTGCAGTATAGAAATGTCCAGTCTCCACACTGGCCATGCTGTATGCAGAGATTTGCAAATTTTAGTAATACTGATCATTTGGCAGGTAGAAAAAACCTATAATACAGTATATGTATTTTATTTGTGTAGTTGTGTGTGCCTGGAGTTCAGTTTTAAAGATCTGGTTAATAGTTTAAAGTAAACTATGTTGGATTTCTGGCTGTTTTTTAAAATAATTTATTATCCTTTAAAAGACAGTAATTATGCAAGGTTCAGGCTCACTTAATGTGACATAAACCTCAGACAGGGCTTCATGGAGGGAGCGGGAGGAAAGGGTGTTGAGTCATTGTTCCACTTGTCCTCTGTAAATTTCAGCCTGAGCGATTGAACTCTGTTAAAACTGAGATAAATAGTTGAACAGGAGCCCAAAGCTCAACCTGCTGGTAGGGGATACGAATACTATATATTCATATACAATATTTCATTTTTACCAGGCCCAAAAAAAATATTTATTATTATTTATTAATTCTTAGTCCTGATTATAAATTATAAGGAAAATATGTGCAAAACACTATACATTCAATCTAAGGATTAATTTTTGAGGGGCTAGGTTAGAATCAGGTTAAGGATTAAGTTACTGGTTAGGGTGATAATAAGGAGGTCCAGAATACAGATGTCTAAATTAGCCCCATTGAATGGTGCACTGTCCCTTCAAAGGGATTTTTTGTTTTTTTCAGAAAGCAAGATATACCAAATTTTCTGACCATTTCTTTTTTTACATTTAATGACAGGATTAAGCAACATTATTGGTGTAATTGTTTACATATCTGCCAATGCCGGAGATCCTGGAACCAGGAGAGATGATGAGAAAAAGAGTCATTATTCATATGGTTGGTCCTTTTATTTTGGTGGACTTTCTTTTATCATTGCTGAAATGATTGGGGTCCTTGCGGTCAACATCTACATTGAAAAGAACAGAGAGGCCCATTGTAAATCACGTACTGAGCTGATCAAAAACCCCTCTGCCATTCTTCGCTTACCAAGTTACCGATTTCGATACCGCCGACGTTCTAGATCAAGTTCACGCTCCACTGAACCTTCTCAGTCGAGGGACACTTCTCCTGTGGGAGTCAAAGGGATACCTTCAACTGACATCTCCATGTATACCTTGTCAAGAGATACCTCCAAGGCTAATGTAAGCAGCTTATATAATACAGAGCGTGGAGATCACAGTTTTCTACAGCTTCACAACTGCTTCCCCAAGGAACCAGGGGTCACCGTCACCGTCACAGGACCAGCCTCAAACACTGGCACCCTGGGCAAGGAAGGTTCAAACACCAACACTCTAAACAGGAAAACCACACCTGTGTAGGTGTTTCCAAGCCTAAGGTCTTCTAAGTGAGCGCGTGTGAGTGAATGTGCAATGCGTGGGATAGAATGTACGTTTTAGGATGGAGATAGGAGCCATTTTATGCCATGTAGCTGCCAATTTCTGTACAGAGGTGTCAGGAGTCCAACCCTCTGTTCTAGTGAAATACATTTTGGAACCAAATGGTAAATGTTCTGAAAACTGCATTATATTGTTTTGATAAAAAAAAATATATTATATATATATATATATATACACACATATTTACTTAAAATATAATGTACATTTTAGGATGCTGATAAGCTGTTCTCTTTTAAGATAAGATAAGGTTTATCCAACCATTTGTTATTTCACATGCTTAGGACTACACTGCTGCTAAGCCATAGTTTTTCTCACAATATAATCACAAGAATACAAAGCAGTTTCATGTTTAAAATCAAATTTGAAATGTACATTTAAAATGTCATTCCACTGTAAATGAATACTGTGAAAGACATGAATGGAAAATAGAGGCTATAGTTTAATTTTCTGAATGATATACATATCTTGACAGCTCTGAATGAAGAGGTCAGTTCACATTAGGCTTTTATTTTGTGTTGAAACAACCACTGGCTTCTTAAAGGCATAAACCTTCCACTAAAAAACAGGAACCATAAAGTGCCAGTTCTGATGTCTGCCTTTTCCACCGTTGCTGGGTTTTGCATTCAGGGCCCCTGCTTATACCTCGTAACCTCGTACTTCCTAGTATGGGGCTCACATGTATAGTCTCCTTGCCTCCCACAATCCAACGCTTGGTGCCTGAGTGGCAAATTGCCATGCCCAAGCAAAGTCAGGTGGGGGAGATGGGCAGCTTGCTTAGCACTGTATAAGTATCTATTTTCTCAGTTGAATAATTATAGGTGCTGTAGCGGCAGATTTCAATGTCAGGGGAATGCCCCCTGCTATGCAATGGCAGGCTTCATTTTTTATTACTACAGATAAATTATATCCCTTTGGGTTTAAATTCCTTCAGTGTCAAGATGTTCCCACTGGAGTTACTGGATCTGATCCTTCCCCACAATGGAATGCTACTTCTTATGTTTAGATGGTGCAAAGATACCACTGTAAAATCCTTGAGATATATAAGGAGCTAGTGTGTGTTTCCCATTCAATCATTATAAGTATAATAATAATAAATATTAACCCGTGACACTGTTGGTTGCCCAAACTTGCATTTGTAGGATAAGTGCCCAGTTTTGTTATGTACATACATGTTTAGACTGCACTAGTCCCTGATAATTTTTTTTTTAGTAGCTTCAAAAGAAAGAGCACATTTTAGCTGAAGTTTGATCAAGGAATCTGGTTTGTGAAGTTTTGTTACCTCTTTCCATTCTTTCCATCTTTCCTTTTTTATTTCACCAACCTCAACAGGGTATTTTCTGAGGCTCCGAGATGCACATTTATTCTAATAATAACAGGAACGTCATAGTGGGCCTCAGGTACTTTCTAATCATCTTCCAATAAAAAGAACAAAAAACGAATAGCTCTTAATGGAGTGCTCATTTACCTGTACCCAAGTCTGATAGTTTAATATTCTGCCCATGAGCAGCCTATAAACGTCTATGTAGCTGACTAGTATAGGTGCAGTACTGTGCTCAGCCAGCTAAGAGAGAACCAGTGTAGATACATAGTAATGTTGTGGCTCTCATGGAAGCTTTTATATTAGGTTTACTTTTTATTCACTTTAGTTTGGTGTTGGGAGTATAAGATACAGTATGTGTTTGCTGTATGGCAAAGAACAAATGAACACCAGTATCTGGGTGAAGATGCACAAAGGAATACTGAATTAATTTCAATATATTTTATAAAGCCAGTGACCCATTTTTGCAGGTATAAGCATAAACAGGTGACTGTTCGTTTACACATGGACATGTGATACGGTCCAAAAAATGAACAAAAATGACCCATATGTATGAAATGTTGGGACTTGAATCCCAGACTTTCACCACAAAGAGTAGTTTCAGCAGAACAGGCACGTTCATCCAGGTCTGAGCTTTGCTATTGGTGTTGTACAGCCCTAAATCTACAAAATATTCTACAATATGCTACAGTTTGAAGCCTTTTTTCCAAACACAGGTTTATACTGTGCATATGCCGTGTTGTAGCAGGATCCAGAAATACCACTAGCTGAATTATGTTAAAGGTAAATAATACATTTTTATGCCAAAGCTAATTAATACTTTCATTCAATTAATTGTGGAACACTGAAAAAATGATCTGCCAATGAGGTGATTGTCAACAGGTGGTTAAAAGACATTAAAATCACTTATTTAGTACCAACCTGTTCACATCTACAAATTTTGGGTACATTGCAGGTGCTGCGCATTTTATGCATGTTTTGTCTTTTAGGTAAATTTTACTTGCATTACCATAGAACTTACTGTAACATGCATTTTGCCGGAATTTGAAAACTTCAAAAAGGCAGCAAGCTAGACTTTTCCCATTGCACTTACAACGCACCTGAGACGTGCATGTGAAAACAGGTCTAACTTGTTAGATTGACACAGGTATCAGAGCACAAGAAGGGAAACTTCTCAGAGTTTTTACATTCTACATTTTATCAAAATGCAAGTTTTTTTCATACAGGGTAATGCAGCTCACATAAGTACAAGTATGTGAACAGATCCACTGACATTATTTAATGAAATATGTACTATAAGAAATATAGAAGCTGCCTTTTTTTGAAATCCATTAGAAGTAATTGGCCAGGGGCAAGCTTGAAGATCAGGAGTGGAAAAGGAAAGTTATAAATCGGGAGAATAAAGAATTTGGTGTACCTAGACTATATGGTACCTCGGGCAGATCATTGTTTAATATCATCTGCTATATACAACAAAATTATTTGCAGTAATATTTTTTTTTTAATTAAACAAATAATAGTATGATGAAAAGAAATGCAATCAGTAAAAGGTATGGTGTCCCCTAACCCCCTAACATTAGTGGCCTGTGTAAAAACCCCTTAGGCTCCATTCACACATAAGTGGGTTTTCCGTGCATGGTCGTGCATATTAGTAGGCGCAGAAATGCGGTAAACATAAAAAACAATACATTGCAATAAGCACTGTTCAGACTATTGCAGTGGTTTTGTTCCGCTTGTCCCCCAAGATAGTCAAATCACTATTTTATGGGCGGATTCCGCGCGCTCCGGCTATAGTAGTATAACCGCTACCGCTATGTGTGAGTAGAGCCTAAGTTTGGAAGTCAGTGGAGAATGTCCTTCTATTATTGGTGGTCAGTGCAGGTGGAGAATCAGTTACCACTGCTCAAGTCACCGCCCTAGAAAACGCAAGAGGAACTATTGGGTTTCAGTGGCTCAAGACTCTCCCATTATCAGGGCTCAGGAATGAAAATAACGTAAAACAATATTAGCTGACTTTCTAAAACTATAACATTTTTTCTATGAGCACAATAATACAAGGTATGTTCTAAAGATATGCTTAAATTGTTTAAAACATTTCTGACTTTGTATAGGTAAAAAAAACAATCATCACATCCAGTAAAAAGGTATAAAAAAAACTGACAAATAATAGAAAATAAAACATATCCAACAGGATGTATGTATAGATAAAGATATGCTAAAAGGAAAAAGTAATAAATAATATTAGTAATAATATATTATTAATATATTTGTAGTTGTAGATATTATATTATTTTATTTTTATTCCTTAGCCCCGATCAAAGGGGGATATTGAGCCCCCAAAAGTGTTGGCTTTATTGATTACTGTTTGGTGAAAAATACAATTTTTACTTAACTAAATCAAGCTTTGTGGCACTCCTATCCCATTAATGCTTTGCAAACTACTCCAGGGCCCCTATGGGATACCCTGGTTAATAAAGAGCTGCTTGGAAGAGTAAGATCTTGACTGCTGTATCTTGGCCTACTCTGGTGTCCAGCGTTTCTCCAGCATATACCTATAAAACCTGGTGGAGAAAGAGTTATGTACACTCTTGAATTGGCTTTGCATTTTACTGAGAAACTACTCTCCTGTTCCTGTTCTACCTTGTAACCCGTCCTTAAGCAAGAGGAATTTAAAAAGTAGCCCTCTTTGATATCTTAGGGATAATGATTTTATAGTTCACAGAAGGAAAGTGTAAGATGACCATTTGATTTCTTAAATCATTGGACAGTACTGAAAAGCAGCCATGTTAGTCGAGTCATTTAGTCATATTAAAAATACTTAAAAGCAGTCAAAAAGCAGAATGTAGCTTACATTTTTTGTATACATTTTTTCACCCACAAAGATTCTTTGTAATAGAGCCTATACATTGGTTTGGGTGTACTCTTCACTATATCAAAGTGCTTTTCTATTTCCTTCCTTTTTGTGACATTTACCACTGGAAATGTTTTTTGTTAAAAGATTTAAGAGCCCATTCAAAATGCACATGTGTGTTTTAATGCATTTTAGATTCACTGGACTGTTATACTTGTTGTTGCTACAAAGGATCAAGGAGGTCACTAAGTTCACTACCAGGAAGTTTTTCATAGTCCATTCATTTAAAAGCACAGAAAAACATGCATAGAAATATAATGACACAAATATTTTTCCTATCAATCTACGGAAAGCAGCATGTTGTTAAAAACAATGTGGGACACATAAGCTTCCACGTGTGAATTTACTAATTGATAAACAGGAGAACGAATGTACTTGCAGTTCATATAAATTAGAAGCCTCAGACAAGTGCAGTGTTGATAGCATTGCAGTCAGAAAGTGCATTTGGGGTTCCATTCAAAACGGTTGATGCATAGCATGGTACCGCACGTTAATCAGTTCTACCCTCCACAGCCGTCGAAGTTTCTCATGTGGCCCCTTGAGATAATGAATTGCCCACCCCTGAGCTAGAGGATTAAAATGTGGGTGAATGCTGCATGTGACGACAGTATGGTCATATCCTTTGTATTAGGCCTTGTATGAGGCCTTATTGCACTGTATATAAAAAGTAAAATACATGTTCTCTTTTTGTGGGACAAAAGTTTACTACCTTGTTGTTCCCCACTATTTTTATTGTTATTATTCTGCCTTGAGCATTTTACTATTTACAGAGAATGGAAATGAATTCTGAAAAACGTAACTAA